AAAAAGAAGGATTATCAGGAGATCTAAATATCAAAGTGAACTCTAATAGTTCATATAGGTAGCTCATTTTTTGTGTGTGTGATCCAACTTAAGAAAGAATAAGGTCTTTGTACAAGTTTTGCGTGAGCACAATGAAATGTTCTGAAATTTCTGTTCTTCAACAATAGCCATGGTGGATTATAATCCACACAGCCAAAGGCCTTTGTAGAGTGAGTAAAATACAAATAAACACCTTTCTGATGTATTTGCTTTTGGCCAAAAAAAAAAAAGAAAAAGAAAGAAAAAGGATCTAAAAATGAGCAAAATATAATTAGAATCATATCCTTCTACAATTGCTTTAGAAAGAAAATTAAGAGAGTAATGTAATTATAGTTTAATAGCTATTCCCTGTGCCCTAATTGAATAAGATAGTAACAATCTTATACTTTGGATTATAAAAAGTTTTACACAATTTTTTTTTATATATTCCATCTGAACTTCGAACCTCCTTGTAAATAACATGCACATTAAGTCACACAGTGAGACACAGAAAGGTCCTATGACCTGTCCCCTGTTACTTGGCAGCTTAGTGGTGAGCACAGAGCTCGACCATGGTCTTTTTACTGAGTCCAAAGTGCTGTCTCTGCCACACACACCCAAGCGGCTTGCCGGAAGTTAGCTCGAATAACCCAACTCAAACGAGTCTTTATGATACAGATATCTGTTGGCAGTACTAGCTCATCAGGGGAAGAAAAAGATATTTTAATATTTTTGTTGCTGCTGTTGAGAACACACATAAGTAACACTAAGATCAAGAACCTAAGGCCAACCCAAGTTTCTCCATGTACAATTCAGCACCACTGATTACATTCTTTGAATTGTGCAACCATTCTTTAAAAAAAAATCATTTTATTGGGGGCACGTACAACTCTTATCACAATCCATCCATCCATCCATTGTATGTCAAGCACATTTGTACATTTGTTGCCATCATCATTCTCAAAACATTTGCTTTCAACTTGAGCCCTTGATATCAGCTCATTTCCCCCCTCCCTCCCTGCTCACCTCACCCTCACGAACCCTTGATAATTTATAAATTATCATTATTTTGTCATATCTTACATTGCCCGACGTCTCCCTTCACCCGCTTTTATGTTGTCTGTCCCACAGGGAGGAGGTTATATGTAGATCCTTGTAATCGGTTCCCCCTTTCCAACCCACCCTCCCTCCACCCTCCCAGTATCGCCACTCTCACCACTGGTCCTGAAGAGATCATATATCCTGCATTCCTTGTGTTTCCAGTTCCTATCTGTACCAGTGTACATCCTCTGGTCTAGGCAGATTTGTAAGGTAGAATTGGGATCATGATAGTCGGGTGGAGGAAGCATTTAAGATCTAGAGGAAAGTTGTATGTTTCATTGTTGTTACTCCACACCCTGACTGGCTCATCTCCTTCCCGCGACCCTCCTGTAAGGGGATGTCCAGTTGCTTACATATGGGCTTTGGGTCTCCACTCTGCACTCCCCCTCATTTACAATTATATGATATTTGTTCTTTGATGCCTGATACCTGGTCCCTTCTACACCTCATGATCGCACAGGCTGGAGTGCTTCTTCTATGTGGGCTTTGTTGCTTCTGAATTAGATGGCTGCTTGTTTACCTGCAAGCCTTTAAGACCCCAGATGCTATATCTTTTGATAGCCGGGCACCATCAGCTTTCTTTACCACATTTACTTATGCACACATTTGTGTTCAGCAATCGTGTCTGGAAGGTGTGCATCATGGAATTGAAATGTGCAACCATTCTCAGCCTCTTTTTTGGAGTTGTTCCTCCCCTGTCTACACACAGTCTACCCCTGAAGCTTCCTCTTGAATTCATTGAAGCTGCTGGGATCAATGTGATCTTAAAATAGCAGAACACTCAAGCAGATATTGTTTACTAGTTAAGTAAGCTGAGCTATTGCTTGGTTTTAAGAAAACTCTGGGGCTTACTTTAGTTCACGGTTTAAAGATGATCTCAAGGTGATAGTTTGGGCAGGGGAGTGGGGTTCATCCCGCAGCTACGCGTCCAGAAAAATCTAGAGTCCACGAGGTGGTTGCTTCATTCTTTGACAGTAAATTTCCAATTAACTTTAAATGTGAAAGTTCTAAAGCTTCCTGCTCCTGTTTTTCCTCTCCTTCATATTTATTTTCTAACCTGCTCTCCTTTCACTTTACAGACTCTCTTCCCTTTCTATTGTAACCACTCCCTAAGCAATTGTACGCACTCCCAGACTTCGATTTCCACTTGATCATAGCCAATCCCAGGTGTCTCTCTGTGGTCTGCAAATCTTTCCTGAGGGTCACCAGTAGATCACATTTCAAACTGTGCATTAGAAATTCCCACCAGGGTGATCTAAAAACACCCTAAATAGCTAAAATAAAATCTGTTTTAGCAAAAAACACTAAAAGCTCCTAAGTTGCCTATTTCAGAAAATATTAGCACCTTTATCAGCCAGCCAAGTTAGAAATGTCACCCACGACTCCTTTCTTCACTTCTCACCATATAATCAATACTTCTGCTTTTGCCCCATGTTCTTGTCTCATCATCCTTCCCACATTGACTTTCAAACCCTGTGTAGCTGTACAGTAACTGCTTTCTAATTGACCTCCCTGCTTCAATTTTTCAATGGTTCAATGTCCTTCCTGAATACTGAAAGGATTATTGGTTAAAGTTCAAGAACTGAATATACCACATGTAGTCACACAGAGTACCTGGGTCTGAATCATGGCTCTGGTACTTCTTGAGTGGGATGAGTTTCTTAACCTATCTGTGCCTCATTTTCTTTACCTGGAAAACGGGGATGATGGTAGTTATACTTACCTAAGGCATTGGGTAGCACCCTGGTGGTGCAGTGGTTAAAATATTCAGCCATTAACCTAAAGGTTGACGACTTCAATCCACCAGCCATTCCATGGGAGAAAAAAATGTGGCAATTTGCTCCTAAAAGATTTCATAGTCTTTGAAACTCTATAGGGTAGTTCTATTTTGTTCCATAGGGTCTCTATCAGTTGGAATGGACTTGAAAGCAACGGGTTTCTGTTTGTTTAATGCATTGGTTGTTTTCATTGCTAAGCACGAATATGAAGACATAACTAAGAGATTCATTACTCTCATTGTCCAGCTACGATATCCTTTGCTATTTCATGTTCTTTCATAACTTTGATATTTTCAAAAAACCACTCAGTTCTACAAACACACTGACCTTGATTCCCTCTTTGGCCTAAGTTACTATAAAGAAAAGTGCAAGAGTGCTCACTTTCTCCCACAATCTCAACAAGGATCAGCATTTGTAGCACTGTCGATATTTATGTTGGGCATGACTTTAGTGTATACAGTGTCTGTGCTATCCTTTTATTAGTGGTGCATAGCAAAATAAGACAAAAACTGAAGTCACTGTGGGTTGGTTTTTTGCCTCTTTGGTTCTGGTTGATTTGACTTTGACCTGGCAAAGTGCTTAGGGACTGAAAGTCAAAAAGCTACAGGCACTTCAGTGAGTGTAATATTTCTCATTTTAACTCACAGGCTTACAGCTTAGATCAAGTTATGGTTTTCTAAGAGATGGTAGAACTCGCCTCCTAGAAAAATCTTTAGGATTTAGAGGGGTGAAAAGATGACTTTTAAAAAATCTCAAATAATATTTGCTCGATGAAAATTTGGCAAACAGGCTGAGTTAGTTAATTGTGCCAGCCTGGCCGATAATCACATGTGGGGCTGGTTGAAAGGCGGAGGGATAAATGGGTGGTGAAGCCTCGCCTTTCTAGTTCTCGGGTCTCTTGTTTTGTGATGGTTGCACCGGGTGCAGCTGCCTTAGCAGTTCCCTGCTTCAGCTTGCAAGATTGACTTCCTACAAGACATCCCCAAGGAGAAGCTACATGGACCTATCCCGATGCAGCCCTGGGTGCTGGAGCAGCCGTGTGGAGATCCCTGCTAGTGCTGAGATGCTTGTTCGTTCACTGACTCAGCTTTCCTCCTGCAGTAGGCATCATTGCCTCTGTTTTGTGAGGTGGAGGACTTTGTGGACTGGTGTTGGGTTAATGGGTTAATGTTGGACTTGTGGGCTTGGGCAGCATTGGGTTGGGATGTTTTCGTGATGCACCTTTTCTTTACATAAAACTCTCTTATACATGAGTCGCTGTGGATTTGTTTCTCCAAAGTACCTAGACTAATACACAGGCAAACAATATTTTGTGACAAAAAAAAACAGTTTCACAACTGATCAAAGAGGTATCACTGTACTATTTGTTTTTTACACTGTTTAATTTTTAAATCAAATGTGTTTTACATGAAAAATGTAGGTAAATATCTACAACCTGTCGATTCCTACTCATGGCAACCCCATGTATGTCAGAGGAGAAATGTGCTCATGAGGATTTTCAATGGCTGGTTTTGCTGAAGTAGATTGCTAGGCTTTTGTTCCCAGGTGCATCTGGGTAGTGTTGAAGTACCAACCTTTCAGTTACTGGCAACAGCTCCAGATAAATAGATACCCCGAATAAAAAAATCAAACTTATTTGTGTCAGGATGATTACAACTCATCATGACCCTATAGGACCAAGGAGGCCACCCCGTGGGTTCTCCGAGGTGTAATCTTTAAGGAAGCAGACTGCCTCATCTTTCTCTCACAGAGCAGCTGGTGGGTTTGAACCACCAACCTTTAGGTTAGCAAGTGAGCACTTAACTTCTGAGCCACCAGGACTTCTTAGATAAACAGACACTGATGTTAAAATATAGTAAGTGCAAAAATTAAGTGACAAAGTAGGCTCTTAATTGTTATAGAAATATAAACATTTTACATACATAAAATGTTGGATGAATACAGGTTAAGGGGATTTCTCTGGCTGTGATATTAAGAGTCTTATAAACTTCCTCCCTATTTTTGGCTTATTTGTACTTTTTTCCACTGAATTTCTTTATGTAATAAGATTATCTTAAAGAAAAAGAAAAGGAAGACTGTTATCATTTATGTAGATTTACTTACCAAGAGATCCTCCCCGGCCATTCCTCTGTTGTTAAAAACCACACATCTGAAAACCAGGAAAGTAACTTTAGTTATTTCTACACAAGATTCTTGCTCACAACATAATATTAAATTCATCTTCTTGCTAATTTTTAAAGCACTAAAGAATTTTTAAAAATGTTTTTAGAAACAATGTTTGCCCATTTAATCTAAATGCATTAAAACACAATTCCAGATTCCTAAATGTGGGTTCAAATTAGAAAATTGTATAGTGAAGAGATGTTTATAACTTGTATAACTTCTTCATATATATATATCATATACGTATCTCCATACAGATATATATGTATCATCATGTAGATATGTCTCCAATAAGTATTAGAAAACAATTAAAATTACTAGCCAATACAAATGTCTCTACTTCAATTAATAAAAATTCCCTACACATTCTACTGTAACATTAATAAGCATCTCTACATTTTCCAAGAGATAGTTCTTGTTCCATCAAGGCTTAGCAAATACAGAGACCAGTATTTTTTATCAGGTGCCATGTTACTACAGGAAGAGCTACAAGGGGTTGTCTCCTCTAGCCAACCTACCTGAACCCCAATTTCAGGAGCCTGGGACCTGAACTAATAGGATGGGTCGCTTGTTTGGGGCTCAGTTGAGCTAGGGAGGAAAGACTACCTATGTGTCCTATAATCCTGTCTCTCCCAAGATAAATGAGCCCCAGAAAGGGACATATCAGCATCAGCACCCAGTAGTGCTCAATGCTATTGGTATCACTGGTAGTTACAACGTCATGCTAGCTCAGACAAAATCCTGTACAGATTCTCTTTTATGTACTGCACCTATAGTTCACACAGAGGATCCTGGTGGCACAGTGGTGTGTTTGCCTGCTAACTGAAAGGTGGACAGTTCAAGTGCACCAACCGGCCTCATGGGAGAAAGATGTAGCATTCTACTTTTAAAAAAAATCATTTTATTGGGGAATCATACAACTCTTATCACAATCCATCCATCCATTGTGTCAAGCATATTTGTACATTGTATATCTTTTTTAAATGTTTTATTTACCTTTAAAATGAATTAATTTTTAAATCATTTTATTACGGGCTCATACACCTCTTATCAAAATCCGTACATACATCAATTGTGTCAAGCACATTTGTACATTCGTTGCCCTCATCATTCTCAAAACATTTGCTCTCCACCTAAGTCCCTGGCATCAGCTCCTCATTTTCCCCCTCCTCCCTCCCCGCTCCCCACTCCCTCTTGGCCATCATCATTCTTACAACATTTGCTTTCTGCTTCTGTAAAGACGACCAGCCTTGGAGGCTCTGTGGGGCAGCTGGGCTGGCCTACAGGGTTGTCATGAGTCCATACCAACTTGGTGCCACTGAGTTCGGTTTCGGTTCTTACATTCACACCAATTAAATTCATTTTGGTTTTTCTGTTGATTTATTCAGCCAGCCAAGATCATTTAAAATCTACTCCTTTTCTTTGTGATCTTGCTGATCTTTGTATGGGTTCTGAGCACTGAGGAATTGCCTGCTCTTCATAATACACCCAACTCTTGAGTCTCCCCTCAGGGAAATTAGATTTCAAGGCATACCACCCTTCATTCAATGTCGCATTTTTGGGGGGTGGGGCTAAGGAACTATTCTTGCACCTGAAAGATCGTAGTGAGAATTCTACTAGTTCTGGCTAAAAGAACAGGAATGTTCAACAACAACAACAATTTCAGGAAGCTAGAAGGATGACATTTTATTGACCAATCTAAGGGAGATTTCAAGTACACTATAAATACGCGCAGAAAAATCCAGCAGTGGCAATTCCTTCCTTCCTTTATTTATTTTCCTGCTCAAATAATATAAAGAAAATTTGCCTGCAGTGGTGCCAAGTAAGGGGGGTGGGGTGGGGATGGGGTAGTGAGAGTGGGGTTGGTGCTCAAGTTAATTGTGCCCTTGAACTTGAAGCTCCTAGTCATTCAGAAAAAAGCCACTTTTGGAATGCAAACATTAAATCAGGATGAAAATGGCTTCTGGGGCAAGAGGCCATCATGTGACTGCCTGGGGACAAAAGTAGCAAAGGGAGAGACAAAGATAGTCTGCAAACTCATGCAAAAGCAGGCAATGCAGCTGGGATTTTCTCCCAAACTGCAGACCGGGGCATTTGCCCTTTCCTTCAGGCAGCTTTGAAAAGTAGATCCCAGTTCTGCTATCTCTTGCAAGAGCATGAACTGTGCGGTCTTCTCCATAAGGACACTGTTTGGCCAGTAGCAGTCATTGTTTCTTTCCAGCCTTAGAAATAGGGCGCAGAGATAAAGAAGAGGGAGGGAGGGAGCAGGGCAGCTACACAGGGAGGCTGTATGAGGGCTGCCACTCAGTTCCTTTTTCGTAATGCCAGTTGGCGTTGAACAATCAGCTTCTTTCATTTAACCCCTTTTATGCCCTGACAGGCGAAGCACAGTCATCAGGGAACACTTTGCACATAAAGCTGAAAGAGCTGGTTGTGGAACTAACTCCTATTCTCGACACTCCATCAGCCTCTGCTAATGTCTGCAGTGGCTCTCACGCAGTTTTAAGGGGTTTGTCCTGGAGGGAAATTGTTCTGAAAAACTTAATTTCCTCACCTATTTTAACATAGCTAAGTGCTTCTTACAACAAAGAAGATGTGTGTAGACAGGATAACTACTAACTAAGGAGGAAAGGAAGACCTTTCCACGGCAACAGGCCAGGGGAGCAGGCAATTCTCCAGGAACGAGGGTGACAGTAATACAGAGAGCTGTCCAGAGCAGACGGTTTTCTAATCTCAGTTCTATGGCTATTTTGGATCAAATCATTTTTTGTTGTGGGGGAAGTCTTGTCTATTAGAGAGCATTCGGTCGCATCTCTGGTTCTACACATTAGATACCAGTAGCCCCCGGCCCAGACAGGACCCTCAAAAATGGCTCCAGATGTTGACAAATGGTTCCAGGAGGTAAAATTGTCCATTCGCTGAGAAGGACTATTACAGAGAGATGGATCAGATACCCTTAAAATATATTCAACCCAGTGATTTCCTAGAATACCTGTATGGTTTTTCCTGCTAAACAATTAGTAACAGATTCTAAGTTTATATGCCTACAAAGAAACAAAACAAAACAAAAATACTGAGACGCAAATGAGAAAAAGTACCCCTCTAGTCCCAGTTCCCTTATCTGCTAAGTACACGGATTTTGTCAAATGACCTTCAGCATTTTCCAGTTCTAGTATTCCCCAAGTCTTTGAAGCTAAGAATAAAAATAATAATCAGCAGAGAGTGGAATGAAGAATCAGCCAGTACGTACCATACTGACTTCAGATAATAAAAACCAGTAATATTTATTCATGCTTATTATGTGCCAGATCATGTTCTAAGCACTTCAGATGAATACTAATTTTGGAGTGGCTTGCACATTAAAAAAATTATTAGACAAAATATTCACTGAAGATTGACTTAGAGCTGATAGGAGAGAATCTAAGAAGATAAGGCCCTTGACCCCATGGAACGTACATTTTCATTGGGTTGAAAAGAGATGCACATCATTCTAGTTGTGTGACTACCACAAAAATGATGATCAAAAAGAAGCATATGATTAAGAAGGTTCAATGAGCGGTATAGATAACAAAGCCCAATGCGGTCAGGATGGGCAAAATTGATTAGGAAAGACTTCATTGATGAGGTACCTAAGGCTTATGCTGAGACTTGAAAAAATAGCAAAAATTTTGGCAAAAGAAGAGTACAAATCACTGTTGATTGAAGGTAACAAAGTGCACAGAGATAGAAATAAAAATATGTCAAATTTAAATCCTATCACCTTAACTCAAAAATTCATAGCCATCAAGTTGATTCTGACTTACAGTGACCCTATAGGGCAGAGGAGAAAATAGTAAAAAATGATGATGGAAAAGTAAGATAGGACCAAGTAGACCTAACGTTCTCAATGCCAAGTTAAGAAGTGATGACAAGTGGGGTTTGCTCCCAGTAAGGACAGAGGAGGTGATATTGGACTAACTCTTCAATAGAATAAATAACGATCAACTCTTGGGTGAGCTTTCTGGTTTTGTTTCTTTTTGTCTAAGGGGATATCCCATTGGTATGACTAAAAACATGGATACAACTTTAATGGTCTAATTAGTATATTGGGCACAGCCAAAGAGTCAGTGGGCTTAAAAACAGGTTAAATGCAAAGAGAAAAAATACAAGCACCAGCTGGAAATTTTTTTTTAAAAAGGATGGAAAAAAAATAATGAAGAAAACGCCCATAGAAAAACCAGTCTCATGAACTTGGAAAAACAGTAAACAGAGTGTGAGTCAACCAAGGCAGTGAGAAACAAGGGGGACGCTCAGAAAGGAGGGAAACACAGAGGACTCCGAAATCCTGAATACAAACTGGGCTATCCTTTCCGAATACCCTCTTCTTTATACATGGTAGGCAGATTCCTGATGTAGTGGTTACATGTTGGGCTGTAACCCGCAAGGTCAGCAGTTTGAAACCATCAGTCACTCCTCTGGAGAATGACAGGGCTTTTTACTCCCACAAAGAATTACAGTCTCAGAAACCTACAGGGGCAGTTATCCCCTGTCCTAGAGGGTTATTATGAGTTGGCATCAACTCAATGGCAGTGAGTTTGGGTTTTGGGGGGTTTTAGGCAGATTCCAACAGCTCAAATAAGACTTAAAATTGAAAAGATTTTAGAGGAGACAGAGTTTGAAGTTCAAGTTGAGCCAAGTTATGTGCCTAACAGTACAAACAAACAAAAGAATCAATACTACTTAGAATAATCACTGTCATTGAATTGATGCCAGCTCATCGAGTCCCTATAGAAGAATCCATAGTCTCTACAATGGGTCATTCCAGCAGTTCAAAATATATTCCAAAATTACCAGTATGTGTCATGAAGAAATAGGAAACCATCACTCAAAGATCAGACTGAACATGACAGGTCCAGATGTCAGAATTTTAAATATGAGGAATGAAAGCCTTGATTATATCTATGCTCAAGGACATTAAATAAGAGAAGATCTTAATGAATAAGCTCA